CACAAATACACAGCTGTATAAATCATGAATTAATTTTGACTTTAAAGAAATAAAAAAAAAATTACAACAAAGAGATGAGAAAAAATGACAACAAAAATATGAGAAAAACTTTTCCCTCACTTTTTACCAATTTGTGGAAAGACAAATGCAAAACAGTTGTGGTTATTAATATTTGTTTTCTCAACAAATCATAAGAACAAACAGGGAAGAAATTAAGAACAGAAAGAATGTGTTGCACCACTTTTCAAAGTGGAAAGAATTTACCCACCTTGAAAAAGCAGCATTTGTATCTATGGCTTTTGCCTTGTTTTAAACACCACTGGCATCAATAGGAAATTTACAATTAACAACATCACTGTCATTTATATCTATATTATATAAACAGGGTGCTAATAAGATCTTAGCCTGACCAAAAAAGCCCTTAAAAATTTCTGTTTGGACATTCAGAAGTAGATTAGGTCAAAAACTTTTCAGTACCATCTTGTATATACAAAGTTCTATCCATAATTTTGAGGAATGAGCATGGGGGAAAATTTTCTAAATTATAGAAATAGTTTGTGGCGTTACCCCACTTACTTTCCTAAAACTACCTTCATTAGGGGGATGCTCTCTAACAACTAGTTTCAACCATCTTCTTTGAAGTAAATCACTTAAATATTTTATATTGCACCCTCAAAGTAGTTGCAATAGTCTATAGTAAATTGATTTTATATTTTATGCATATTGTTCAAATTCTCTGGAACTTTGGGGTAGCATATTATATATATATATATATATATATATATATATATAGATAGATAGAGAGAGAGATAGAGATTATATATATATTTATTTATTTATTTATTTCCAAGAGGATAAAATAGAGGTATAAAAACAAAGTTTTTTTTTTTTTTTTTTTTAATACCCGGAGTTATGTTTACTGTTTCCTTTTGCATTTGTAAGTCTGATGAATTGGATCGTGATTACAATTCCAATGTAATAAATTGTACCCTTGGAATATTAGCATTTGAGTCTATTATATTGTGTGTGTGTATATATATATATGTATATATATATATATATATATACACACACACACGTTTGTTTTATACCACTTACAATTTTTAAAAAATTGAATAAATTTTATATGAACTGCCTTAAAAGAAAATACACCATTTATTTCTACTGAATACAAGGATGATGATAAATTAAAGTTGAGATATTAAAAATTTAATTCATTTCCTTCTGTTGATTGTTAATAGTGATTAATTCATAGTATGTATGTTCTTTACCTAAAGTTGCAAAGGGAAGAGAAAATTTTATATCTCTTTATTTGAAGAGCTACTAATATCTTCATTGTACATGCTGATATTGCATTTTACTGCAATGCAGTGTAAGTGCAGCTCAGAATTCAATAATGCAGTAAATGTACAAAACAAAAAGCAAATCAAAAAGAGAAATTCTCTCTCCTGTGAGAATTATAGAATGATTTTTTGAGAACAAAAACAGAGTTCACAAATTAATATAAGGGATGATTTGCTGGGCAAGAGAGAGTTTATATGCACTTCTATTTTAATGATAATTGGTGATATCAAGAGCAAAAACAGTTTTTTTTTTATATTTTGAATCTAGATTAAAAGGATTGAAACCATCAATCTATGTAAGATAAAATTAGAAAGTATAATAAGTATGTTCCTATACCTATTTCATTTTTTATTAGTTTACAGTTTAAAACCTTTTTTCCCAAAATATACATTTATAAAATACAAAAATAATAATTGCTATGTGTTTTTAAAACCATTTGTAAGTTGTGGTGTTGATTCAAACCTCCTTTTTCTTTCATATATATATATATATATATATATATATATATATATATATATATATGAAAAGGAGGTTTTATATATATATATATATATATGAAGAAATTTTGAAAAAACAAACAAAAATCCTTAAATGTAGTTAAAATGAAAGATTTAAGGATTTTTGTTTGTTTTTTCAAAATTTCTTCATTCTGTCGGATTTATATCCATTTACACTTGCTTATATATATATATATGAAAAGGAGGTTTGAATCAACACCACAACTGTCTCTCAAATACTGCTTCCTAGGAAATAAAAAAAAATTCACTGATTTAGATAAATTATAAGTTTGTGGAGTTACCCCACTTACTTTCCTAAAAAAAACCTTCACTAGGGGACACTCTCTAAGCCTATAAATAGGCAGTAACATTCTCTGTCATTCTTTTTTCTTTATTTCTATTTCACCCAAGGACAGTAAGATGTAGGTCAAATGAGAGAAAACACTTTCCTCACTGAGGAATGCACACATGCATGCCAGCACCTTTTTCTTCTTCACTTTCCATTACTTTTCTCTAGGACTTCTACACACACACACACAGAGTTTACTAGTTTAAATGTTTTCCTATTTCACCCAAGGATGGTAAGATGTTGGTTGAATGAAGGAAAAAGTGGTTTCCTCACTGGGGAATGCACAAATGTGAACACACACACATGCAAGTCAACACCTTCCTTTTCACTTTCTATTACTATTCTCTTGGACTCCTCCTACACACAATTCAATTCGTACAGAACTATATAAACATACTCATGCATCATTTAGACACTGTTTTCAAATTGAGAGCCAGTAAAGAAAAAATTTGACTAACTTCTTCTCACGTAAAGAGCAAAATTGCAAATTTCAAAACTCTAAAACTTATCTACATGACATTCTCTGGACAAAATGTTCCAAGTCAACAAATATTTTCTTTGCAATATATGCACCCCCCAAAAATCCCTAATTTCCCTTACAATTACTACTACAATGACAAGGTCGTAGGCAAACAACACACATCTCATCTCTATTGCCGTTTGCTTGACCCTTTCTCTCGCTCAGGCCATTACATCCAGCTTGTTCTTCAATCAGTAGACATGCCAAAACAAAAAATACATACTTTCATCTTATAAATTTGAAGCAAGCAAAACACAGATCATTTTCTTCAAGATCAAACAAAAAATACCATTCAAACACCATGAAAGTTAACTCCATTTTCAACTTTAAACAACACTGTTTCTCCTAGATTCAACAGATTAAGATGTGAAATAATCCTAAGTCGACTCACTGACCTTTTTCACTCTTCAAAGATGTTAACACAAACAAAGAAATCTGCAAGTATGATTTAATAAAACACAAAGATATCTGCATCTCTGAGAAAAATCAACAACAACATCAGATATTGTCAAATGTTCTCACAAACATGTATTCAACACTGTAAAAATTTCACCAACATCATCCACCCACAGCAAACAAAATCAATTCAACGTGGAGCATTGAAAAACAAAATTTTAATAACCACTGAACACACTTTTTCTACACTATCAACATATCTTTCTGGGCATGCTATGACTCACCCACTAGAGAATTATATAGCATCCTGATGACACAGCACTTTACACATTTTTGTCAACATGTTTAATCACACATATCTCAACCACACTGTTTGACTTTTTCTTTTCAGCCCATTAGGTACAAAACATACAAACTTTATGGACATATGGGCAAAATAAAATTCTCACCATCTGGAGGAGAGTATTGTGGACTTACCCCACTTACTTTCCTAAAAAGACTGTCACTAGGGGATGCTCTCTAAGCCTATAAATAGTCAGTAACATTCTGTCATTCTCTTTTTTTCCTATTTCACCCAAGGACAGTAAGATGTAGTTCAAACGAGAGAAAACACTTTCTCCACTGGGGAATGCACACATACATGCCAGCAACTTCCTCTTCACTTTCCATTACTATTCTGTAGGACTCCTACACAACTACACACAAAAACAATTCACTAGTTTAAAGGTTTTCTTCATTCATGTTCACCGTTTTGCAACATGCAATATTCTTCAATTGTCTATGTATGTTTTGTTTATATATATATATATATAGAGTTTTGTTCTTTATTATGTGGACTCACATTCCGAGTCCGCCATTTTTGTTGTGGGATAAATATACCAGGAAACACATGTTTTTCCAACTAAACACTTGACCAGCATACTCCCACAACACATTTAATGATAATAAAAAAACATTTCCCAGCAAGGACTACTGACAGTGGTATAAATCAAGTTTTTACTTTAAATTTTTTACAATAAATCATTATTTAATCACTTTGTTAACCATTCTGCTGAAAATTTCAAAATTTTCTTCATAAAAAATAACTTCTAAATAGAATGTATCTCAGCTTAATATATTAGGTGTATGCAAGTTTCCATCAGAAAACAAGTTTTTGACTGGCTATTCAGTCTATAGTTTTTTTTTAAAAAAGACTGCTGTGAACTTCTGTATACAACTGATGTTTAGTCTATGATCATTACTATAGAAACTATTTACTTGAATCCCATCAAGTTAACCAGTAATTCCTTCAATAACTCATTTCTTTTATCTGTTGTCCTAAGGTCAATATTTCTAACACAACATTCCTCTTTATGTTGCTTTCCTTCTCAAAAACTTTTCATTTTTTGACTGTAGTTCAGTAAATTTCCGAAATTTGATACACAATCCTATTTTCATAGATTCTCTATCATCAGATAATGTCTATAAATTCTTTAAAAAAAAAAAAAAAAAAACAATTATGAACTGGTTGAACTGAAATATAAAATACTGCTGCAATAGAATATTTACAGATAGTTCATCATATAATGAATAAGACATGGAACCCAAAAAGATTATGTGTGTGTGTGTGTGTGTGTGTGAAGGTATTATGCAATAAATTGTCCTTTAGTATAATTTGAATTCAAAATTTATATCAAGCTTAGGCCCAAAGTTGTTTATACAACTTTTAGCCAAACAAGTTACGAATCTAAAATTTACAGTTCAGTTTATGCCCAATTAAGCAAGAGACATTATAGCAATGATTAGTTCAGTTTTAAGATTTCTTGCTGAGAATGTACATAAGCTGCATATAGTTTAGCTAGAGGCACTTGTCATCTTTGAAGATGGTATGAAAGAAAAACAAATGTTTACTTACTTGTAAGAGCCTCAACACCATAGTATGAAAATGGCCCACCATCAAAAATCATGTGTTCTTTTCCCACAATCACACTAACATGACCTGAAAAAGTTTAGTGGAATAAAATGTAAATATTTGCAAAAAAACAAGTATATAGGAAGATCATGTGATCCAAGGATTCACATATATGCCTATATATTTCCTGTCAAAAGAGGATATTATGGTTTTTGACTGACATTAACCAGAGTACATGAAGTTAATATTTGGCCAAAATTTTGTGTGATTTTATATTTCAACATTTATATAGATTGCAGCACTCTGAAAAGTGATTCTCAGAAATACATGAATGAAAAAAAAAAAAAAAAAAATGGAAGCAATTAGAGAGACAAGTTATATTTCCTAATGCTTAAAAGAACAAAACAACAAAAAAAAAACACACAGGATTTGTAATATTGTCAATTACTGAAAACAAAAAAGTCTCAGATACTGTTTTCAAAGATAATACAGAGAGCATAAGAAATACCTCCCACATAATGGTAATAGATTAGTGGCAATGGTGTCTTCATCGAGCTAATGTCTTACCTTTATGTGGGAGGTATTTCTCTTTACATTGATTATGATATATAATAATATTATTGTTAAAATGCCAATGTTAACATTATATAAACATTATTTAACCATAGGTAAAAGTAAATCAAATTTGTAATAAAGAACATAATATCTGAGATTAAATAAATAAAATCATTTTTGCTTGAGGCTCTTAAGCCAATTTTAAATAAAGTTTGAGGTTTTACATATAAAATACAATTCCCAAAATAGTAATTAATGCCAAATCCTAAACATTGTTTTTGTTATATCGTTAAATTTAAATGCAATAGCTTTTTATAATATTATAAATGCATAAAATTGATTGATTCATTTTCTACGACTTAACCTTTTGCAGATTGTTTAAAGTCAGAAAATATTTTTAGATTGTAAAAGTTTTTTGGGAGATAATGATTTAATGATACAAGTCTTACTAATTAACCTATAGCTGGGGGAGAAGAGGTGGATTCATACCTTTGCCAAGTGTACTTACGTGTTTTAATTTTTTTTTTTTTTTTTAATCTACTCAATTTAGATTCATTTTCTTTTTATCACTTTTGTTATTAGATATCTCACACTGTGATAATAGAAGTACTGCCAGGAATGGTGAAATGTAAGAGCCTGGATACAGATAGTGCCTTGATCACAAGGTCATCCACAGTAAATCAATGTCCAGGCTCTTACATTTCCCCATTCCTGGCAGAACTTTTATTATCACAGTGTGGGATATCTATTAAAGTGTTGGAAAAAAAAAAAAAAAAAGGTCCTAAATGAAATTGGCGAGATTTAAAAAAAAAAAAAATTTAATTTAAAATACCAAGCATCCCTTATTTGGGCACACGTGTAGTCACACCAACATAACAAATTTAGTCTGATGAAGTCCTAAAGGACGAAACATGTCATAAAAAAAAAAAAAAAAAAAATTTTTTTTTCCATTTTGTCATACATTTTCCCCAATGTCTTCTAATATAAAAAGCTTTCATCCAAAAATATTTTCAGGTGTCATACAATATAACTTTGTAAAATTTATTTATTTTTTAATACAAATTTCCAGTTATTTTTAAATCTAAAGTATATGTAAATATACAGCCAGGACCCTCACACAAGTCTTTTACCAACTGGACAAGTAACTCTAAATTGTATTTCTTGTTTATGATGTGAACAAAAAAGGGGGAAGGTCAGTGCACATTCAATAAAGGAATAGAAGATGAAAATATTGCTCTGGTAAGAACAAAAAACAAATTCTATTTTCAATATTTTGGTTATTTGTATGCAGATTCACAAGGCACAGTTAATGAAGTAAGTGACACTTGGGACATCTTCATTACTACTACTGTCTTCTTTCACAACAGACTAGATCTTCCCTTTGACCAACAAAAACTCCAACTACCCCTCTGTCCATCTCTTACTAGCTCTACAACCAACAACTTGCAACTGATTTACTGTCACCCTGCCTATATAACCCTGCCACTGGAATTCCTTAGCTTCCAGCCAAGTGGAATTTAATCTGAAAAAGTATTCAGTTTATTCATTTCTTTTACTTCACTCATCATTTGATCATTTTACTGTCTAAGGGAGTCATAAAAACCAGTCCAGATTAAATCATTCATAGTCGTCTTTGTGGGTGTTCTAAGCCACGGCCGGGTCTCATTGCATCACACATTTCTTTATCAAATGTATCATCTGTAGACTTAAGATTTTCATGAAACTAGTTGAATACTCTTTGAACATCATTAAGTTTTATTATGAAAAAAATGTCATCTACAGAATAGATATGCAACCTAACTATCATTTTTTTTAAAGAACAATTTAACAATTATTTGCTCTAATTTGGCAATTATGTTAAATAAGACCAATGCAAATGCTGAAGCTATGCTTACTACATAAAAGTATAGCGTCGTGCAGGAATAAAAAAGAATTTCTAGTCAAGATCACACCAGACCAAGGGAGTGAAGTGCAGGCTTGAATCGAAGGGAACTCCCAGTCGCCAATTGCAGAAACATGTAACAAAACAAATGCACCTGGTTTTCCAATCATGGGTATGAGATGTATGACAGATATATAAACAACCACCCCAGAGAGGAGATGGCAAGTCTCTCAGACAAGAATTTAAGGACCAAGAAATTTTGTAGAAAATTTCTTGGACTACATACATACCCTGAAAGTAACTGAAGTCGGGAGTCGAGTAAAATGTAACTTGAAATAAGAAGGATTCAAGTTTCATGTTATTCATTAGTTCACATGAATTATCACTAGTAATCGGTACAACTATATCAGAGAATATGTTGTGTATATGTTCACTATACTGAGAGAATCCTTCAGTGGAAAGCCATTAACAGTAAGAATAAATTTGATCAAAGTGATTTTAATTACATACTATAAAAATAATAAATAACATTTAGCTATTTAATTTTTGTAACTTGGAAACTTTACAAATATGAGATTTTAGTAAATGTATTTTATAATTTTGTGTGCACAAAGGAAATGTTCAAACTAAAAATGTTAAGCAATTTTGGAATTAATCTATTTAAAAATACAGTTATCCCCCTTGTACTAAAATTTATTGTCAGTCAGTTATGTGCCATATGCGCTTAGGCAATCATGTATCTTTTGATACATGACTGACAAGGCAGATTTTTTCCCCGGCAGTAGGTTAATTTATCGTAGATATCTTTTTACATGAAATGACAAAAACCCTTCTTGAAATCCCTTTAAAATTTGCAACAAATAAATTTGCAGAGATCTTTAACTTTTATATTAACTGTATTAAATAAGCTTTATAAAGCAGACATATGAACATAATACAATTATAAACAGTAGAATTTATAGTGATCTCAATGCATTGACAATGCCCAATATTCATTGCACAAAAACATAAAAGAATAAAAATTCCCAAATTATTTTATCATTGTAAACCAATTTTTAACTACCTTTTACCTTTTTTCTTCTAATTTGTGTTGATAGATATTTGTTACTTTTTTTTTTTTTTTAAAAAAAATATTGTTCACCAAAAACTGCTGAAACAAGTCATTTATGCATAATAGATGTGACAGGTACACATGATTATATCTGTTATATCTTTCACATCAGTTGGCCTTCAGGTTTGTTTTTATCTACCATATCAGTAAATTTTATGATTTGAAAACCCAAATGATGAGTACACATAGGTATTAAAGCATTTCATACAATATACGTTCCTTAAAACACAGGATTGGTTTCAAATTTACTAAAGGAAGAAAAAACAAAATGCATTATTTTCATTATAAATCCATAACTTTACATGTACTGCTTTATATATATCATTTTCATTGATGACTTTATACACAGAATTTATTGAATTTAAAGGCTTACAACACCGAATTAAATGACATTGTACTTGACAATTCATAGCAATAGATAAAAGTAATGTAAAAATTAGAAAGTAGGATGAATAATTTTACGAAATCAAACTTGCAGTATTATATATATATATATATATATATATATATATATATATATATATAGTGCTGTTCAATAAAAAGTGACTCACCTGATTTTTTTTTTTTTTTTTTACTTAAAAATTTTTTCGTCTTGTTTTTTGGGTCTGTATTCAGACTTAACACAGAGGCCTACATGAAGTGCCTTGAGGAAGTAGTGCTGCTCTGGGTTAAGAGGGTGGCTGCTGGAAGACCCTATATCTAGCAACAGGACTGCACCATGCCACACGAGGAGGAGAATCCAGTTATGGCTGTCAGACAATTTCTGCAAGCACACCACCCTTTACAGCTGGCCATCTACCTCCCCAGACTGCAAACCCCTTGATTATTATGTGTGGGAGACCAACAAAACGCCTTGTAACACCAAAGATGAATTGAATGTGAGGATTATGGCAGCATTCACTAACTTAAACAAGGAGACCATTCAGAAGAGTTGCAGGAGATTCTGAAGTCATCTGGAGGTCATGGTTGAAGCCAACGGTGATTTTATTGAATAAATTTACTCTAATAATATTTCAATATATTTCTGTGTAATTTTGGTAAATATATCTGTTAAAATGAGATGTCAGCATTATTTTCATTTTTGTCTAATTTAGACAATTTATCCATCAAACCCTGTGTGTGCACATATTTTCCACATTAGTTATAACAAATTTAGTATAGGAGAAAAGAAAATTGAATATAGAATATGCTGCGCTAGAGGTAATTTTGCTGAACACCACAAATTAATACAAAACCAAAACATTAATCTGAAAACTGAAAATAGCCTTGTTAGATTAAGACTTTCATACGGATATCTTGCATGGTGCCAAACCCATTCAGAAATATCTAAACTGTCAGTTGTATACAATTGCTTTCTAAGATCAATGGTTAAAAATCATCTTGAGCAAGTGAAGCCTGACTAAGTGCATTCTTTTTTTAACATTACGAGCTGGTGCTACAGAATCACAAACAAAAGAACTGTACCAAATAACAGAAACCACATCACTTGAGGACTTTCAACAGCGGAAACAACTAAAATGAATAGAATATGTAACACAAAGAGAAAATAATGACAATCAAGTTAACATTCCATGCCACTTAAAACAAAAAGTTAAGGAAACCCCCCATCAATACTAGAAACAGCAATAACAGCTACTGGACTTGAGAAACATTTTTCAGAAAAATTGTTTTAAGAGAAAGATTTTATAAATTTCAACAGAGAATAGTACTGATTCCTTGGTCAATGAATGCCAAATCTTTCCTTATAAGGAAATGGCCAATATTACCATTACAATGCTGACTGTGTGAGTATTCATGTTTCCCTGTATACTTATAAGTTTATTAAAAATACTTACCTTGCAAGATCAGGATAAAATAATCACATGGTTGCCCTTCTTTGTAAATATAGTTTTCTTCATCTTCTTCATTTCTCATACAGTGTTCTCTTACAATGTATTCTTTCAACAAACGCTTTAGTACAGATTCTGAAATGTATTCTGCTTTAAATGGTTCCACACCTGGTGGGGGGGAAAAAAAAAGTTAATACAAATGTCTGTTAAATAATTTAAAATCAGAATGCTGTAAAAGTCTAATTTAAAAAGATAAAGTCAAACTAGTCAATTTTGATTCACAAAGGTATAATTTTTTTTTTTTTTTTTTATTGAAAATAAAAAATTTAAGCAATGAAGAGCTATTTGAGAAAAATTTGACAATTTTTATTTTTTATTTTATTTTATTTTTTTTTTTTTTCCAGCCAATATCAAAGCTTCTTGATCGTATTATGGTCATTAGAATTTAGCATTTTTGGAAGAAACAGATTTACAAAGGAATCGATATGGGTGAAGTTAAAATTGCAATGAAAGAGATAAAAATATTACCAGAGACAAGATAGGGCAAGTCAGTGGAGAACGAAAGAAGAGTGAAATGTATTAAGTCATAAGAAATGAGACAACTGTTAGCCGAAAGGAAAAGAAGCATTTAGAAGGTATGAAAAATAAAGTGAAAGAAAGAAAAAGATGTGGTTCAAGTGATAAAAGCCAAGAGAGTAAACCAAAAACTTACTTGAAAACAAGAACTGGAAGCAAGCCAATGTAAGTTGTGGGGAAATATGGGGTTGATTTCCCTCATCTGGTTGGTTGAACACGCTCAGGTCCTTGCGATCAAGTTTACGAGGTTTTTTGAGTCTATTATCAACTGAAATGAGAAAAAAAAAAAAGAAATTCTCTGGTTACATTTTCATCAGCTAGTCTATGAGAAAATTCCATTTACAAGACAATTGTTTATAATAAAATTTTATTCAATCATAAAGATTGAAAACAATGTTTTTGTTTGAGTTTGACCAATTCGTAAAAAAAAAAAAAAAAAAAAACAATTAATACATGCGTGTCCGTCAACCTTAAACAATAATCTTTGTCAATTTTATTTTTCAGTCTTTATGATAGTCGATACTTGATATATTCTCTTACTGTTACATCCCCGGTCAACGCCGGGCTCTACTGCTAGTTTTAAATATAAATGAACATAATATTACTTCTTGCTTCTAAGCAAAAACTTAGATACTTGATGGTACTCTCACTGTGGATTTTAGCTTTTCAATATGAATTCCCTGGTATGACAAACTTGTTGGTCATGTTAGGTCAAAATCAGTCTAAAAGGGTTTTTGCATTAGTGTATCAGGTTATATCAATGCAAAAGTATATACAAACATCTTTATGAATAAGATACCAAGTATCATTTCTTTTTGGTCTTTTGTGCTACAGTTATAAATGCAAATTAGTAAAATGGGACTAGTGAGTTAACAATCCTCAGTAACTATTAGCTTTAACCTAACTTCATATTTAACACACTGGGGTCAAACACTACAACCACAAAAATGAGTGAAAAATTGGAATGATAACAGTAACAGTAGAGATAGTCATAAAATAATAAGTGAAAATGTTTAATTTAAATATTTCAAATATTTGGTAGTAATACAAAAATGGCACAGAAAACTAAAGTGGAATGATTAATAGAATGACTATAGATTTGTTTCACTGAATTATCAGTTTCTGTGACCAAAGTGGTTAAAGTTATGTCCATGAAAGAAAGGCTCTTAAGGTATTAAACACAAGTTCAAGTATTGTCAGAAGCTATTTTTTTTTTTTTTTTTCTAATTGTTATTTGAAACTTAGTACAGTAGAACCTTGGTTCACAAATTTAATTTGTTCCTGAAGCCTGTTTATAACCAGAAATGTTTGTAAACTGAAACTATTTTTGCAATAGGAATCAATGCAAAATGGATTAATCTGTTCCTGGTCTTATGATTGCTGATTTAAACTTTAACAGTAATTTGAGCACAAGTTTATACACAAAACTAATGAAAATCATTAAATCTAAGAACCCCCCCCCCAAAAAAAAAACTCAATACTAAACAGATAAAATATAGACAAACATTTTAATTTTACCATACCTGTAAGAGAGTTGATAGTGGAAGAGGAAGGAAAGAGATGATCATTTCTTTATTTATGAGAATAGTATAGACTGGTGATTTTGCCCTATGAAACCGAGTAGGAAGAGACAATATCAACAATTGTTTTTCTTTTAACTTTTCATTTTCCTTTACCAGAATCACTGCTAGATTTCTTTGGAGTCATGACAGATGACTAATGAAGAGGAAAAAGGGAGAAGGGGGCACAGTTCAATAAAACTGGAAAAGAAAAGCAAAGCACAACACACAAATGTATATAACACGGCAGTTGACTCAAAAATGATTCTGTTCGGGTTAACTCAGTTTGGCAATGTTGTTCAAGAACCAAAATTTTGTTTGATAACTGAGGTATTTTCATCTTGAATATTCTGTTTGAAAACAGATTTGTTCAACATGACAAATGTTCAAGAACCGAGGTTGCTCTGTATAGTGATAAAATAATAACATAGAACAAATTTAATAATAAAATAATGCTGCATCTATAAATATTCTCAGCGACAATCACCATTGCAGATTATATATAATCATATTCAAGGTCAATGCCTATTGCAGGCTCTCACTCAGGCACATTTGTTTTTGTTCAACATCCACAGAGCTAACCTGTTGTTTATACTGCAACTATGCTGAGCAGACCTTAGTTACGGTTTCTGGGAGAGAACATGTTATCTAGAATGATAAAAAAATCTGGACAACACCAGCGCACTCAAACCCTCAGTCACAATGACTTGTGACTTTGTGCTAGCACAGCTATCGATCGCCTCAAGTTTTCCGTCTACCCAATTTCACTCACAAGGCCTGGGTAAACCTGTGGTTTGATTTTCAGGCACTTTCCAAAGGTACCCCATGCTGGGATTGTCCCCCCTCCAGACCAATAATATCAGGAAGTCGTCTTCCTGACAAATCGGCCATGATGAGATTCAAACAGGTCTCATGGTCATATATATATATATATATATATATATATATATATATATATATATATATATATATATGCACACACACACACACAGAGGCAACAACAGCAAAATTGTCCAATTGTTAGATTAAGCTTTGAACTGTTGCATCTTAGAAATAATTAAAGATTACTGGTATTCTCCAAGGTTTTTATAACACTATTGGATTCTACTTAGAGCTAAATACATTCTTATTGTTCAAAGTTGAAATGAAGATCCCTCTTGTTGTTGTGACCTCCTGATCCAATTTTCCTCTCTACTGTTCCCACTTTTTTAAACTTATTCACCATTCTCTTGATGGTTCTTGAATGGACTTTGAAGAGTATGAATGTTGGTACCATTAGTGAAGGCCTGAATGATCTTTTTCATTTCACCATTGCTCAGTTGGGAAGACATAGTAGGACTGACACAAAACGATTTTAACCTGTTTCTTTCTAGCTGGATAACTAAAAGGGTTTTTCAGTGATTCTTACGACAAATGGTGTCAAGATGGCTAAACATCTCTGAAAACATGGAAAAAAGAAACTCAATTAGTTTAGTGGTTTTTTTAGATATTAAACATTTTGTAGGATGGACAATTATCAAATGCTGTGACACAATTTGAACAATCTTGCTGTTACACTTTTGTGTGTGTGTGTGTGTATATATAGAATTAATGTGAGCAAAATTTCATCACTGAGCTAATTGATGTTACTTTCAGCTTCCCAACTCCAGAGTTCCTTAGACAGACATGTCCATCCACTGTTCAGAAAAATATCTATTGCGACTCTTATGAATGAGACAACCAACGAAAATAATTAAAGCCAATTCATTATTTTTATGAATGTTATTTATGAAATTATAATTTTAATATTTTCTTTGAGAAGTCGCCATTTCAAGTGTGTATCAGATTCTTTTCAGGTAACACACAAAAAAAAAACGTTTATTACTTGGCATGCCTAAAATGACACATAATTTTTTGAACTTTCTTAATTACCTAACAAGATTGTAGACTGAGCTTTATGAATTTGAAAAAAATTAATTAGAAAGCAATTTTGTTGCATAAACAATTTGATAGTTTGAATAAATTTATTAATAGTCATTCATTTTTTACAGTAAGAAATCAGAAATTTAGAACCCAAATTTCTGAGGAAACCATTTAATAAATCCTATTTTTTTTTAAGTGTTGAGTAGTTTTTAAATTTGATATTTATAGCCTAGTGGAATGGGGTGGGGTCAACACCATTAACCAATTATTTTTTTAATCTTAAAAAAAAAAAAAAAAAAAAAAAAAAAGAATAAAAAAATAAAAAAATCATGAAAACATTCAATAAGCATGTGCTCTAATGACAGCTCTTAAAGCAATCATTGTTGCAAGTGCCATTTAAAATGCAGAAGAAGCCATTCATCAGTGTCATAAAAAGATGCTCACTTCAAAATTAGGCTTCTTCCTCTTAATGTTTTTTAATAATTTCATTCCAAGCAAGGCAATAAAGCCACTAGGATGCAAGGGGTTACTGATTGTTAGAGAATATGAGAAAACTACTATTAAGGAGAGAGGACAAGAAAAGAACAAGAATCTAGCCATTTCAACTGTAAAATGGTGAGACCTAGCTGCCAATCTAGTACTGCATTTAAATTCATAAGGTCAAGGTAACATAGAGGAAAGTTCATTAGAAAAATTATCATGAAAGTATTTATAGAAAAGGGACAGAGAAGCTACGTTACAGTGGCGGGAAAGGGACTAAAGCCAAGATGTCAGGACCAATAATATTGCAAAATCTTCTTTGAATTTTCTCAAGAATTTCTAAATATATAACAGGGTCACCAGACCAGATATGGCAGCAAATATTCAAAGCAAAAACAAATAGTAGACTTATAAATATGTAAGATGGATTCTAGAGAGAAAAATTGTTTAGCATGACAACTTTCTTAGCTGCAGATTTAATTGATGCATGTCAGGTGAAAACAGTCCAATGAGTCACTCTTCTGGAGATTAGCATCAGCCATACTAATGGAAGACAGAAATGGCTCTTTCACTTGCTTAATAGAGAGAAGTTTCATTTTTGAGGTGTTAAAATTAACAAGCCACTAATTGCCTCATTTAAGAAAAGATTGTATGTCTTTTTTTAGATCAGCTATCAATTTATTTTCAATTACCTCTTCATAAAGACAAAAAGTAAAATCTCATTAACAAAATCATCAGGTATTTAGTGAGGTTTTAGTACTTAAGACAAACCATTACAACAAAATAAATAAAATAAAATTTCTAACACTGGCTTTCTATACTTTAGTTTCAGAATTTCAAATGATGAGTATAAAATTATTATAAATTATTTAAGAACCTTTAAAAGAAAATGTTTTTATTTTTTTTTATAGTTCAAAAGCCTAAAATTTTTCAGTTTTAAAACCTATCAAAGTTAATTTGAAATATCAAACTGTACACAAGAAAAAAAAAAATGTTTGCAAATTTACAAAGGCTTAAAAACAAAAATATTGTAAATATTTTTCTGGTTTGATAAAAATCCCAGACAGGTATAATTTTGGTGACTAATAATTCAGTAGAGAAGAGATTGGAGTTGTGTGTGCTTTTCATGAAGCTGTGATTTAAAGATAAATGTCTAACCTTGTGCATTTGAGTCAGGTTTAGACCACGAGAGATGAAATTCTGTTTTGTGGAGAAATAACCTTTGATTTAAAAACTGATTGAACCTGAAATAATTTAAGTATTTCCAACCCTAAATAGATTAAATTTATATTGTTCTGCAGTAAAAATAAAATAAATCCATCAAATTCTCAAAATCTAACCAAATGGCCATATTTCTTTTTTTGAAGTGGTGGGGAGATATTGGTAACGATCCCTGTCATATTAATAGTGTATCATTCCCAAGAATGGTTTCTTACCTCTTTAATGCTTACTAACATCCTCAGTTATAATATAGAACTAAGACTACTGTTTTTATATTTATTTACTTTTACTTTCATAATGATCACTATCCATGCAAAAATTTAAAAGCATATTTGCAATATGATATAGAATAAAAGATATTTCTCTCAAAGAATCACAATACTACAAAAGGTAACCAAAATATAAGGCCTGATACAGAGCCAAAATCCTGGGTTTTAATTACAAAGTTTCTGTGATGAATTATGACAACAAAAAAAAAAGATTGGCTCTGATCATCTATATATTATCTGTGCCTTTTTGCGTTTAATGGTACTATCTATACGTATCATCTTAGACAAAAGAACAAATCATTTGATCATAGAAAATCACATTGAAACAGAAATCAATTCAAATGTGAACACAATGTGAGCACAGGTGAAATTATTTTTGGCTTATCAAGTAATGGACCACAAATTGCTTGGCAAACACTGAGCATTGGGATTTTAAAATGCAATCATAATCAAACATGGAGAGCTCTGCAAAGTGAATATCTTCTCATTATATCAATTTCATATTTGTGGAACAAGGCATATAATTTAATAAGTATTTATACAGTCAATACAAATCCTTGAAGCTTACATTTTCTCTGCATCCTGTATTTTTATCTACTATATCAATTTTAATATCAAAATTTTAATCATTGTATTAGTCACAATTGTTGCTGAATAACTGCTTGTGTTTATTAAAAAAGAAAAAATTGTACCGAATAAAATTTTGTTCACTGTATTATTAATAAATTAAAACATTTATTTAAAAAGAAAATAAGTTGATTGTAATTCTTTGTGTGTCAATCTATGATGATAATGTATTTCAAAATATTCTTTTACTGTCATTATTTATTTTTACATCAAGGTTCACCCTGTACCAAGCCACTCAAGGTACAGGGTTACATTAAGAGGCAATTTATATGGATAAGAGAGGGAAGATAACATTTAACCCTAGACTTGAATAAGTTAAGATTGTAGTGATAGGAACACCCTCTTGGGAGATGATTCCATATCCTCTTGGGAGACAGCTCCACAGAGCAGTGGTTCATGAGAAGAAGCTGTACGAGTAGAACTAACTTCTAACCAATGGAATACAGAGGGAATGTGGATGGTTTGCTACAATGTAACAGGTCCTAGCCATGAATGTTAGGAGTGGAAGAACCAAGGGATGTAATTCATCTGAGCACTTGCCACAGAAATAGCGATAGAGCAGTGAGAGGGTGGTGAGAGAGTGGAAAATAATTTGTCACCGACAAAGACTCTGAAATGCTTTTGGACATCATTGAGATTAGAAAAGTGAGAACTGGGTAGCCTCCACCAAAATATGAATTGTTAATAATTTATAAAGAACACAAAAAGCCATTAACATGGAATGAATTACTAGTAATTATAAAAACAGCAAAAGAATATAAAACTTATCTTTGCTATCAAAACAATAAACCATTAGATTCTTTTAACAATTTCATTTTCAAGAAGAAAAAAAAAAAAACACACACAAAAAAAATGAGAAAAAAAAAAGCTTCATCTTTTCTGATAGTAAATCTTAACCATCATAGCAGAAAAAAAACAAATTGTTTCTTTCTTTTTTTTTTTTCCTTTTCTTTTCTTATTCCCAAGGACAAATGGACACACTTATCTCCAATGACACAAACTGAGATATCCAGAAAAGGCATGGTACATGGAAATAGAACAATCTACCCTGGTGGACAAAAAATATAAAAGGGTTCGGTTCAAAATACCAACGTATATCACCTGAATAAGGCTGGAGCATACAATGGCCAAAACATTGTGAATATGACAAAGATGAGGAAAACAGTCTGAACAGTGTAAATAGTTACAATACCTCATCTCAGAAATATAGACAGATGATTTATTAAAGATAAAACTGACAAAAGAAAATATACAAAAGAAGATAATTGGATTCAATAAAGAAGCAAATATGAATGCAAATTACATTATAGAGACTAGCAAAAGTTTCTAATTTATATGTAGTACAGAATCTTAGCAAGCAAATTAAAAAAAAAACTATCTTAAATTTAGCATTTTACCCAAAATTTCAAACTAAATCTATTATCCTGCTTATCTAGCCAATCTTCATGAGTAAAAAGTGCATCCAGATAGACATTCCCTTAAACAAACCTGTTCAACCTGTAGTACCAGTAAAATGCTCCAATGTCATGATCAAAAAGAATTACATGCCCTGACAAGTAGAAGAAAGCTGATCATATGAGCAACTTTATAATTGTAGTCTACTACTAAGTTGTTCCACTGACAGTTGTAAAAAAAAAAAAAAAAAAAAAAATGAAATTTTACTCCAAATATCCTGGTAAGAAAACAAGTTGCTCCTCCAAAACATCAAAATAGCTGAAGCAAAGGAGAAACTGATCTTTTTGAGCAGCTAATCTACAAGTGCCAATTTCATTACATTCAAACGTGTTTCATTGAATAATACAGACATTTTATGCCTATATTTTATGCTAATACTTTCCAGTTCTCTAATCAGTTTCTTGATGTTAAGATGAAATTCTTCAAGGAAGGTGCCATAGTTTTTTTCCTACCCAAGTACTTTTGATCTCCTCCAAGATAATCCTCAGGGATAAATTACAAAGACAAACTTATTGTAACTGTAATAAAATCTGTATTTCGTTGTGATAGTAATTTTTAAAAAACATACATGAACACACTGTTATAATTATATAAAAAATTTTAATTTTTTTTACATGTGCATATAAAACTGTAGATGTAACCATGATGTCTTTCTTGAAATTTTATGCAGAAGCTTAAAATCTCTTGTTAGACTATTTAAGATTTTAAAACAAGGACTATCTGCAACTATCATAGTCTCACATCAAAATCAGCAAATAATAAAAAAAATATTTGTAATTAGGTTTTCAATCAGCAATGAGTGTGAGAGATGCCAAATAATATTTAACATAAGTATCTTTTGATTGATTCTTCCAAAACAATTCAGTCTCTACAAGTTTACGATGAAAAAATAATGAATTTCAATACACCAGGGTTTATCAATACTGATTATCTTCACAAAAGATGTGTACTCAAGATATTGCCAAGTTAGTATAATAATCAGGTATAAATGAATGTTAATAAAATTTATTATTGGGTAGCAAATGGGAAAATCAAGAAAGCTTACAGTTCAAGGAAGAAAACTCAAATATGTTCTTTGGATTTATGGATTTTATAAAGATATCAACAGATAAACCATAAAAGAAACTTGATCCTGTTTGCATGTAATTTCTGGGTGAATTTTATGCACATGACAAAACAGGACATGGATTTGGTGACAGTAATTATGAGTTCAATTCCTGGGCTAGGTAGCACAAACTTCAACTCAATCGAAATAAGGTGAGAAATAACTGAACAGTACTTAAAACAAGATGAGATATCCAGAGATATGAACAATGGAATGAAAACAATCTGTCCTATAAATTAAATAATGGGTTCAGTTCAAAATTCTGTGACAGTTACTGCAATTGAAGAAGGTTGGAGAGCACCATGGCCAGAACATTGTGATAATAACAAAGATGAAGATATTAGTTTTAACATATATATATATATGTGTGTGTGTGTGTGTGTGTGTGTGTGTATATATATATATCTATCTCATTTATGTATTTTGATATATCATATAGGTATCAGACTTAATAATGAACAAATCACAAAGTTATGATTCAAAATATTTCTTGAAAAAAAAAAAAAAAAAAAAAAAAATCCTAAAGTAATTAATTTTTATACTCATATAAAGAGTTTTTTTTTTTTTTTTAAATCAACTTGTATATCCGGTAGGTGGCTGGTCACATTTCAAGAAAAAAATGAGGAATTTTACTTCGGTGAAAAAGTTCAGAAGGTATGATAAAAATGAAGTGGACAATTAAAAGGAGACACATGACACTTTGTTATGGCAGATCATCATTTAATAAATATATGGGCACGTCAACACTGGAAAACATAAAAGCTTCTATGTACATTTGCTCTTTAACCACTTGGGATCAAAGTGTTATTGTTGCATGACATACCAGCAAAATAGATCATTGACCATTTCAAGACAATCATCAACATATAAAAATTATCTTTGATCACAACTCAACTGACCAGAGTAGAAACATTTCTTGTTAACTACAACATGGTTAATAAACCTAGAAACCTATTTTTCTTGACTTACAGCCACATCATATTGAAACACTGCTTCCCATACAATCACCAAAGTTAAGCAATGCTGAGCCTGGTCAGTACTTGGATAGGTGACCACTTGAGAATATCAAATTCTGTAAGCTTGGATGTGCGAATTGGGTAACAGATGATGGTTCAGAATTGTTAATCAGAGAGCCGAGTTCCAATTCCAGTTGAATTCATTATATTCACTTATACACAAATACCATTGGAAAAGGTATGAATCCACCTCTTCTCACCCCAGCTATGGGTTAATTAGTAACACAGGCATCACTAAAACCATTATTATCCCCTAAAAATTAAATTGCATACAAAATATTTAGATTTTGGTATTAAATAACCCATAGATGTTGATAATTTTATTGATACAAGTCTTACCAATTAACCCATATCTACAGAGAAGGTGGTATGGATCAATACCTTTTCCATGGGTATTCGCACCTAAGTGAATATAACAAACTCAAGTGGAATTGGAACTCTGCTCTCCAATTTCCAATCCTGAGCTGTTATCCACTACACCACTTAAACATCCAAGCTTACAACACCTGGTATTCCCAAGCAGTCACCCATTTAAGTACTGATCAAGCTCAACATTGCTTAACTTTAGTGATCATATAAGAACTGGTGCTTCAATGTGATATGGCAGTAAGCCTCACAAATGCTTGTAGAAATTTACACAACATACAGAGACATTCAAACACACATACAAAATGACTGCAATTATTTATAGTAATTTAATGTATATGTGAATTGGAATGACCCAAGCAGAGGGACAGACAATGAGCCTCCACATTTGACCAATGATTTCTAGTCTATATCCGTTTCCTTTATTACATAAACACAAATGTAGAACATTTACCACAAAAACCAAAGTACTTAACACACATGATTAATCTTTATTCTTCATTCCAGTCAGTCAGATTCCACCAATCTTCATTCCAGTCAGTCAGATTCCACCAATCTTCATTCCAGTCAGTTAGATTCCACCAATCTTCATTCAGTTAGATTCCACCATCTTCATTCCAGTCAGTTAGATTCCACCAATCTTCATTCCAGTCAGTTAGATTCCACCAATCTTCATTCCAGTCAGTCAGATTCCACCAATCTTCATTCCAGTCAGTCAGATTCCACCAATCTTCATTCCAGTCAGTTAGATTCCACCAATCTTCATTCCAGTCAGTCAGATTCCACCAATCTTCATTTCATTCCACCAATCTTCATTCCAGTCAGTTAGATTCCACCAATCTTCATTCCAGTCAGTTAGATTCCACCAATCTTCATTCCAGTCAGTTATTCCACCAATCTTCATTCCAGTCAGTTAGATTCCACCAATCTCATTCCAGTCAGTTAGATTCACCAATCTTCATTCCAGTCAGTTAGATTCACCAATCTTCATTCCAGTCAGTTAGATTCCACCAATCTTCATTCCAGTCAGTTAGATTCCACCAATCTTCATTCCAGTCAGTTAGATTCCACCAATCTTCATTCCAGTCAGTTAGATTCCACCAATCTTCATTCCAGTCAGTCAGATTCCACCAATCTTCATTCCAGTCAGTTAGATTCCACCAATCTTCATTCCAGTCAGTTAGATTCCACCAATCTTATTCCAGTCAGTTAGATTCCACCAATCTTCTGTTTCCAGTCAGTTAGATTCCACCAATCTTCAAGTCATTGATTCCACCAATCTTCATTCCAGTCAGTTAGATTCCACCAATCTTCATTCAGTCAGTTAGATTCCACCAATCTTCATTCCAGTCAGTTAGATTCCACCAATCTTCATTCCAGTCAGTTAGATTCCACCAATCTTCATTCCAGTCAGTTAGATTCCACCAATCTATTCACAATGACACTCCCTGCTATCCAGAATTCTGTATAAGCTAATCAAGATTGCATTTCAACTGATCATGTATCACAGTGGACTCCTGTGTAACAATTCCTGCCATCATATCTCCTGTAAATATTCTATTATATATTTAACTATCATTATAACATCAGATTATTAAAACGAAAACAAATTGGAAACAGCATTGGGAAATTTGAGTGTTAGAAAAAAAAATTAAAAAAAATTTTTTTTGACAAACTTAACATTGTTTCACCATCTTTTGCCATCTTTCAAAGAAACTTTATAATTCCAACCTCTTCTTAGCAAAGAATTGCTATCAATACCTTTTGCCATTTTTCAAGAATTTTATTTCTCTTTTTTCATTAAGAGAGTCTTTAAAAACTTGAAGAAATGGTAAACCGAAAGTGCAATATCTGGTGAATATGGCAGATGATTGAAAACTGTCCAACCATGCTTTAATTATTGTTACCTGGTCACCAAAAAAACATGTAGTCTAGCATTTTCCAAATGGAAAATTAAGCTTTTGTTTGAATTCCAAATGTTTTTCTTCAATTGTTGCCTTCATTTGATCTAATTGCCAGTAGAACTTATCAATTATTTGGAGCAGGATCTAGTAAAGAACTTCACTTCTCTCAAATATAAAATAACAACACCCTCTTGGATTGCATTTTACTTACTTTGGGATTTCTTAGAGTTCATATAGTAAATTATCTATTTTCTGTCACTCATCGTAACTTGTTTTAAAAACCAAAGATTTTTGTTACATTTAAGTAGCAAATAGCATACTGAAATATGATTCAGCAGGGTTTTTTTTTTTGTGTGTGTGTTTATGCGGAAGTGACACATCAAAGTAACTAATATTTCAGTGCTTGATTTGGATATTTTTAGCAAGTTGCTTATCTCCTGTGTTGTATAAGATTGATTATTTTCAAGTAATGTCTTTATTTGATCGCTATTAAATGCAACTAATCAACCCAACCATGGAACATCATTCAGCAAGAAATCTGCAGCAGAAAACTTTACAAACCACTTTTGATAAATTCAAGCACTTGCAATACCTTTGGCATGAACTGGAGAAGTCTTTTGCATTTAGTTGCATTTTTACCTTTCTTAAACTAAAATAATGAAAACTTTGCTTATTTTTTTTTCTCTTAATTAGAATTACCAAACAATACATACATACATTTTGCCAAATTTTATAAACGAGGAAAGAGAAAAGAGAAATGATAGTTAGCATAATATATTCAGAAGCAATTTTTTTAATGTAATTAAAACTAAATGCTACTAATAATAAAAAAAAATAACATAAGCATTTGAGCTATTTTGAATCTAACAGTCTCAAAAGTTCACTTTCTGTAAAATGAGTGACATTGATATAATAGAGAGAAGAATTCAAGAGTATTAAAATAAATTTGTCTGTTACTTTCTTTGAATTTCAGTTAACTTCTAACCCAAAGGTTCTCAACTCCTTTTTTGTCAAATGCATCCTTTTAGCCATAACTCAGAATATCATTCCCCACCTTTCAAAGATTGCCCGACACATAAATGAAAATATATTATTGAAAAATTTTCATTCTTTTCCATATTAGTACATAATGGATTATTTTTTTTTATAGAGGAGTTTTACAAATTTAATAACAATAGAGAATCTTGATGGATTTCAAAACTTGAGTACATACGTGTACAGTAATTTGTTTTACTTTATACCTAATTAAATAGACTGAAACATACTTCAGTAAACACAAAGTTCAATAGAATATCAGAGTATTGTATTTCAAAACTATATTTGGTAAAGAAAAAAAAAGAAATATATCCCCCACAGATATTCCTGAAATTCCTCTCCTGAAGGAATCTCCCATGTGACCCTCTCTCCCACTAACATACATACACTGGTTAACGATTTACAGAGTATCAGAAATTATCAATTAATTAAGCTTCTTTTTTTTTTCTTTCATTACAATGCCTTATCTCATTCACACTTATCTATTCACTGCCTTATTTTACTCAAAAACTTTTCCATAAGTAATCAGAATAGACAGAAGTGACTATATCATGAAATTGACATAGACTATTGATATAGAAATAAACCTTCTTCATACAAGGTTATCTAAACTCCAAATGTTCTTTATGTAAATCTATTCCTCTTTAAAAGTTAACCTTATGTGCTCAACTCTAAATGAGGAAACAACACTGTCACTTAGTTTCTGCTTCCTTTAATAGAAGAAAAACCTTGCAAATGACAACTTCCACAAAGTCTGTTTGCCTGAGTCTTATCACTCATTCTACTCTCCTTATGTCATAACCAGGCAAGCTCTATCTTTACCAGTTAAGAGAACTGTTTTTTCTTAATATTTAAACATCCTCTCTCTCTCTCTCACACACACACACACAGTAAGATCACCAACATCCTCATCACATTTTATAAAGAGATAGAAGCTAATCTGTCAAAAATGACAGCGGATGGATCTATCTTATAAAAGAGTAAAGCTGATAAGATCAAGTTAAACCTTTCAGTATGAAAGAAATAATGGTAAGCACTAGATTTCTTGAGATTGTCTCAGGAGAGGATAATCCCAAAATAAAAGTGCTTTATCTTAGGCAATAAGAAACAGAAACGCCATTGAAGTTCATAAAGCTTTCCTAACTATAAGAGAAAATATTTCACCATTTACTCCCATCTAAGATGTTATAAGGAAAAAAAAAATCAATTTACTGTTTATACAAGAGATGTTCTGAAAGTAATGCTTCTTATTTTCACAGAAACTGCAGATACAGGAGTAGCACCACCGGATGAAGCAAGTTTTCAGCTACAAAACATTTGTTTCACATAATCATCATTGACAATGAATTTTTTTCAACCATGAACACATTGTGTGGGTTAACAGCTCAGTAGGGCCCCTAAACCATGTCATGTGCATTACTTTTGCAACTGCTGAAACCACCACCCCACACTGACTGTGCTCACATAGACTATATGGTCTCTATAAAAATTCAGCAAACACTAGTGAATATTAATGGGTGCAGTTTTTCCTCATATGGAGGATTCCAATAAAACACCTTTGCTTCATACATAACAGAGCTACTGAGCTGCTTTCTGTAGCAAGGCAAAAAGTCATAATGGGTTACTGTCATATCAGCAAAACATCTAACGTTGTTAGCAAATAAATCAGACATTATTTTCAGAGCAGCCTTCAGAGTTCTTATGCACCAGTAACTGCAGCTAAGTAATATTACCTGTCCAAACTATAATTTATTGAACCTGAAATGCTATGAGGCAGATGAAGAAGGATTTCACCTGGAGAATAATCAAGATCTTTGCTATCGTCATCTTAAAATCCTTAATAGATTTAATAACTTATTTGCTAGGGCTTAGTTGAAAATTTATTGATTGATTCATTTTTTATGGCTTATCAACCCTTCACAGGTTATTTAAACCAGAAAATATTTTTAGATTCTAACAATTTTTTTTTTTTTTAGATAAGCAAAATTTTATTTAAAAATTTTTTCAACTGTAAAAAAATTTTTTTTTTTTTTTAAACTTATTTGTTACATATACTCAAGAATAGGTAGCACTTTTTTCAACAAAATTTCGATAAAAATTAGAGGTACAGCCTACCTACTTGACATTATAGAGAATCTGAAGTAGACTGGAGCATATCAGTAGTCAAGGCAAGTACCCTGGGCTTGAACATAAACCAGAGGAAGGGAGAAAATGAATCCCCCCCCGGCATTTCGATTTTACACAATCACCTCTTCCAGCATCACACATCAAATAAAAGCACTGCTCAAATTTTCCATTTATT